ATGAACCTTCTTGATGTGCATTGTTTGTGTTGCTGGTTGTGTTTTTGTACTTCACGAAAAAGTATGGCAACTCTGAGAAGACCCAAGTTGCGCAAAAATGCTTTGTGACTGGCAGACGCAACGGTTCTCGCATCCCAAGTTGTGCGTCGCTTTGAGCGGCGCGAGCGAAAAGCGGCGAATCTTCACCACCGAGTGGTGTGAAGAAATGCAAAGCTAAGGAGAAGGAGAAGCCACTTGGATTATGTCCTTGGTGTTTGCACATCTTTCCTCTTTCAGGGAGATCCCCCCCAAGCGGTGGGTCCTGGCGCCAGCTGGCTGCTGGAGGGGAGAGCTTGCCGAATCCAACCAGAAAACAAGAGGATTGGGTGGCATACTACTCCACTACTTGGCGTTGAGGGTTTCAACTCATCCTAGGTCCATTGCCAGCTGCACCGGTGAAAATCCCATAAAATCCCTTGTTTCAAGGGTCTCACCTCGTTCACTCCATGTCGGGGCGAATGCTGTTTGGAGGCCCGCGGAGTGATCCAAGCATTCCACGCACTGGTCGGCCCAAGCCACACACTCCAAGCGGGCCTTGGTGTTTCTCCAAACCACCGGTCCGGACCCCATCCAGAGGAAAAACGGTTACGGTGCCCCACTGAACGGAGGGTCCAGGGTCGCGTTTGGGTAGTATATTAAGAGCAATATGTTATAAATGATACAGTAAATAGTCCAGCTTTGTGGACTGACCCCTTGTATATAATGGCACTACCACATGTACAGTTCATGTCTCGGTTCACCAAACTGGGCTACCACACATGTACTACACACACCTCACTTACGGAATTGAAATAGAACTCACCCTAAGAATCCGAGCTCGGGCTCTCCATGGCAGGGGTCGGGCCCGACACCGAAACGCAGGGAACCGTCGGAAGCGTCGACCCGCGGGGGCTCGCTTGAAGTTCGGTCGGGGGTCGACCCGTCGATCCCCAAGTGCCCAACCACGTGTAGGGATGGGTTGCATAGGTCTATATCATAGATCATACTATATCAAGAAGTCCCCATATGAATATACTATTGATCAGTGTAGAGATGCTGGAATCCAGCCGGTAGCGGCTGGAATCCAGCAACCATGCGATAATTACCTAATTACCTATGTATTCCACTCTATTATGATACTATATTGCTCAACTGATTGTATTCATCTATGTTCAGACCCTATATAGGATATTCAGAACATGTTCACCCGAACACCGCAGGGCCGAATCGGGCCGAGGTTCTACTGGGGCTACCGTGCTGGTGGCATCGCCTACGGACCTCGCTTCCGCGGCATCGAGACGGCCCTGGGCCGCGCCAGTGGAGCGCAGGGCGTGGACGATGAAGCACATGCCTTTGCCGCTTGGATCGCGATCCGCGCCAACGATCCCGAAACGGGTTCGAAGGAAGACCGGTGGGTTGGACCCTGTTCCGACTAGACCAACCCATATGGTGGTTTTGGGGAGGTCCATGTGGGGAGTAACTCCTTGGCGCTTCGGGGAGGAAAGCGAGATACTTTGGGGATCTTTGGGGTGTGTGTTGTTTTCTGAGGGAATATCTCCGTATGACCCCCATCAGTCACGGGAGTTCCCCGGACAACCCCAAGGCGAGCAAGACCAACGAGGAAAACGGGAAGGAAAAAAACAGGGCCAAAGAGGGGAGTGGAGCTCATGGCTTGGTTTGGGGGGCCTGGTCAACAGGCCGTTCATAAGACTTCTTCCTCCATTGTTAGTGGCATAGTGGTAGCTAATGTACATGGGTTCTACCCAAGTTTACCCACTTTTACGTGGCTTTGCTTAAGGTGATTAAGTTCGTGCTTTTCGTGCTGGGATCCCCATTCTCGCGACATCAACAATCGGTAGTCATCATCTGCAGGCCGAAACAAACGTAACCTTCCGGACTTGGAGCAGGAGTTCTGTTGAAGTGATCAATGCCGGCTGATCTGGAAAAGCCACCCACCGTCCGTGCCCGGGCCGACTGCCCCGAACTCCCCATCCGTGTGGACCGCCGCCTCCACGCTGCCGTTTCACACCGAGACCCCTCGGACAGTCCCAGGCGGTCTATCGACTTCAAGACGAGTCCGACGACTGGGAGAAGGGCTTCCGCACCTCCGCGGCGATTCGTCGGGGGGGTCGGCTGGGCGGTGGACCGTAAGGGCTGTTTGCAGGTCTCCTTTTGGTGGAAAGTGAAACGAGGATGTAGGCAGTGGGGTTTTGTTGAAGCGAAGGAAATCAGTTGAGAGTATGGGTGTTGCACGACTTTTTGCTGGGTCGAAATGGTGTGCAGTTAGGGGCGAAGATGGGGCGAAGATGCCAGGGTTGGGTCAGTAGGAGTCACTCAGCTGCGGCGGCTGGGAGGTTTGGTCACTCAGTTGGCTGGGATCGAGGGTTCAAAGTCCGGAGGTGAGACCCGCCCAACGGTAGCCAAGTCTGAGCCGAAAGAAAAAGAGCAATCTTTCTTGCAAACTCCGTGTGGCACCGAAAGACACTGGCCGCAAAGGCTTGTGTGGCATGAACCAATGTGGGAAAGAAAGGAGGATGTGGCCAAGAATTTGCTGCGCACCATCAAGCATCTAATGAATCTAATGCTTCATGCATGTCAGGATGACATATGAGATCCATGTCTTTTTTCCTTGCCCTATGATGGTTACGTACTGAAACAATAAGAATTCTCTCGTTTTTCGAGACCTGTGGCCAATCTGGCCATGCTGGACGGTTCGGCCCTGTGGGGATGGTTGGAGGATTGTGAGGCAGATTCAACAGCATGTTGTGACTTAAATGCGGGGTTTATCAATGAAGAGTCTACATGAATCAGTACATATGACCACATTCACCACCCCCCCCAAACCACCTTGCATGTAGACCAATCCGCAGGATTGTGGACCGAAGACTGGGCCGTGTGGGCAGACCCGACCCCTTCTATCTGCGTGTGGTTTCGACGCAGTTCATACTTACCAATCTTACCATACGTTGAGCCCAGCACGCAACAGTCGAACATGTGCTTGGCCGGGTCATATCCATTGGGCTGGACAACCACATATCTTGGTGTTCTCTCCGAGATGTTGAACCATTCAGCAAGGTGGTTGCTGGTCGTCTGGTTTTTCTCAGTCTGAATGGCCCAAAGTCAAGCTGGTCTTGAATGGTGTTGAGTTGATGCCATGTTATTGCATGGTCTCATGGTCTTCCCAAAGAAAGTCCCTCAAGTCGCGGCCAGTCCTTCAAGTCGCATCTAGTTACAGATTCCGCTCCAAACATGAACGGAACTGGTCTACGTGGGGATGTACACAGTCATTGGAAGGCCGGGTCATGAGCCATAGGCTGGAAATCGCGGTTGAAGGAGTCCTGGTGCCCATCCCCTGTTGCCAAGCCATCGGAGCATTCCCCCCAACCCAAAACAGCACCTGCCGGTCTAAAAACCGTCAGGTGCTTTTCCGGTGTTCTCACTATCCCGGTCTTCTCACTAGTAGCACGGTGTATCCTTTGGTCACTAGGTAGCGAGATGCGCCTCCACCGAACGAAACCGCCGAACGAAACCGCGTCGCGGTGCCGTCCGGCGTCCTTGGTCCCAGGTGCCCATCCGGCCATCTTGGACTCGGCACTCCAGAGCGGCAGCATCATCGGCATGGCAAAGCATCTCTAGAGAAGCGCGCGCAGCAAGCGCCGCAAGCAGACCGCGCGCAGACCGCCCGAGTGGTTGGTCCACCAAGGTTGAAGGATGGTGAAGGATGGTGAAGGAGAGTTTGGTTCCATAAATCCACCCTGCTGGGTGGATTGGGATGGGGGAGATCCACTACTTAAGCGCATAATGCAAATTGGTACAGAAACAGTATCTGGCACCACCAACCTGATGTGTCCGAACCCGTTCGGGCATCAGCCAGGCACCGCTTTTTGTCACACGGTGGACCCCACATGTCACATGCGTGGAACACGTAGAACAGCCTGAGGGCCTTGGATTTCCTCAAGGCAAGCACAGTGGGCCAAAACCCCGACCTGGCTAGTGCACCACAGTCGACTTGATTCTCGACTTGTATGTGGAGCGGATATTTATACTATAGCTGGGTGATGGTGTCAGATATTCTTGGTTTCGATCTTTACTTGGCATGATTGAACCGGTGTAGTCTTCACAGGCTTATTGTAGATGGGCCCATTGTAGTCTCCCCATCCAATGGGCCCCCCCATATGTTCACCCCACAGCAGTGACGACACGGTCAAGCTGAGTCATTGAAATTGTAGGTGAAGATGTGTCTTCCTCGTGACTCGTCTCTTCATTGTCCTGAGCACATGGGTCACCCTCTGGCCTCACTTGTCATGAGTCAACAAGTAAACAACATATAAACAACATTAATTAAACAACCTAGTTACCTAGTTGAAAGGCAAATAATTATAATATATAGATATATATATATATATATGTATATACTCTCTTCAAATAGGGTACGGTCATCAAAAACAAACTGGTACGGTCATCTTGGCCCCGTGCCGTCATGTGAACATATCATGAACCTGCCGAACGACCGCTGCGTCGCGTCGCCCACCGTGGGCCGTTTCAGAAGGATCCTCTTCCGAAAGGAGCGAAAAAAGGAGCGAAGACTTCACCGAGCGGGCCAGAAACGGAAGAGGAAGAAGTTCTTTTTTTCAGGCTATGGAGAAATCTCCCGATCTTGAGACTTTCACAAGGACCCACCTTCCACCCTGATCCTTCTTCTTGTGGAGTCAGTGTGGTCGGTTCTTGGAGCTGTGGTTGGTATTGCTGGTGCTGGTGGCGATCATCTTGGTGACTCTCATTGTTGGAACCATAGCAGTTGCACTTGTTTCACTCAACGGGGTATTTTGACCGGTTCAAACAGCCTGCACTGGTTCTACATGAGTATCAAAGACTGGGTTGAAGGGACACGCTATAGGAAACCCATTGTTTTTCTGTGAAAACCATGGGTTTCCTGCAGATGTTCCCTTAAACCATCCTAAAACCCAATCCCAGCTCTCTAGACGCGCCAGGTGCCTGCCGATGGCGACATGTCAGTGCGACCAGACGTCCAACAAAAGACGCCGGCGGAGATGGCGACCAGACGCTTCTCGCGGCCGAAGCCTTTCGTCGTGAAAAAGGTGAAGAACGTTTTGGATCCTCGAAGTTCTGAAGTCCAACGCCGGACTGACTGAAGATGGGGATGGACTGACGGAGACTGATAGGACTCATCGGTTTCGATCCGATTGGAATGGAGGATTCGGCGGTAATTCCGCGAACGTGACCTCCCAGGTCCACCAAAGACCAGGTCACCTGGTGGTTCTTGTTGAGCCACAGCTGAAGTGGTCCGTTGAAATTGTTTCATGTTGACCGTCAGCCGTCAGGCACTCCGTCAGGCCTCTCTTCTTCGGGTGAAGGTATTTCCGAGTTCGTTCTGCCATTTTCGTGCCGCAGAACGCAGGTTACGGGTCGTGAGAAAAGGACGGAACGTTTGGGGTACCACTTGAGAGCTCAGTGAGTTCGGTGAGCGAGCCATAGCGATGCTGTTGCTCCCGGTAGTACGGCCAGGAGCCCCTAATCCTAGCGTCCGATCGCTCCGTTCGTAGCGATGCCAGGAGCCCCGTTCGTAGCTTCTTGGTTTCTATAAGTACACGTGTTGCACATGTTTAGTAAGGATTTTGCTTTGTCTACTGGGTGTCATGTTACCTAAAAAATGAAAGGTGCACCACTCGTTTTCTTCGGTTCCATCCCACTTTTTGGGTGCTGGGGGTGGGTCACACGCTGGCCCATGTCGTTGGAGTGGGTCCTTGAAGCACTCACTTTACGGTTCTGATCAGATAGAATGAGTGCACATGATTGCACCGTGAGTGAATAGCCTTCGACAGGGAATCGACAGGGAATGACCACTGCAAAATGTCCATCGACTTCCGTGCGAAAACGGCTTCGGTGAAGTCGAGTTGTCCCAGAGAAAGAGAAGAGAAGAGATCCATTGGTCGACCGCTCCGTACGTGGTGGTTTTGCTCTCTCTCCTGCGATCTCTTGGAGTCCCAAGACAGACCTTTTGGGGTGCCAGGTGCCATTGGTCGACGTCTAAAAGCATAGCCCAAAGCGAATGAGGATGACCAGAGGCGAAGAACGACAGAGCAAGCAGGATGACCACCGTGGTCGAAGACCCGCTCTGCAGCCTTTTGTGGCTCAACAGAGGTGGGCTTTCCAATCTGTTTGTAGAAACCAAGCCCTACTGATGACACCAACAGATACCGGTTTCTACAAATCAAGAGAAGGGTCCACGCAAATGCTCCACGGCTGCCATGCTTTGCGATTCTTTTTCCAAAGCACCAACAGATCCAAAACGCGGCAAAATGGGGCCCAATGAGGTGTAAGCGTGATCCCAGAGCTCTGCCTGGAGTGTCCAAACAGCCCAGGGCTATGGAATTAAGCCAACGGATCTCAGTTGCCCGTTGTTTCTCGTTGAGACTTTCGGGACTCCCATCATGGCTGAGCTCTCCATGGAAGGAATGGCCACCACGAAAGCACTGAGCCAGTCACCCAATGGAATTTCAGCACTGAGGATGGATCCATCCGAAAGCACGTTCGAAAGCATCCATTCTGTTGGAGCTGCCCGAGATTCCCGCCCAACAAGATCGATTGACCCCACAGCGGAAGAATGAATGAAGGTGCTTTTGGAAGAAGTGCTGAAGTCTTTGGATATTTTGGATAACCAATTATTTGGATCATATCAAGTCATTCTCCTATCAAGCTCGCCTTTGAACCAGGAGGCTACACCCCCACCCAGCCCCGAGAACATCGGTGCCCCGGCCATGGATCCACCGGAGCCCGCTGCGCCGGACGCGGCGAGCACGAACTGGGATCCGCTGGTGGCTGCCGCTGGGATCAAAGGCGTGGGAGGACGTCGTTTCGGTGATCACGAACAGCTGTGTATGGTCGTTTCGTCTGGCGGGTGCGTTGGAACATTTCAAGAGCAAGAACGTCTTTCAGATGCCGGCGCAGGAGGTTTGTCAAAAAGACCTCTAGACCTATATAGAATTGAATAAAATGAATTTGAAAAAAAAAAAACAAACAAACACAAATAGACGTTGCTCCAAATGGTCATGCATGGCAGCATGTTCCCCACATGTCGGGCTTTGGAGTTGAAGACCGCCCTGTCACAAGAGAGTTCGGGGCTGACACACGTGTCTCCAGTGGAGGGGTGAAACTCCCAGGTGACCCAGGTTCTTCACCCAGGTTGTCCTGCTTTTCACCAGGGACGTGTGCTTCAGTGATTCCTGGGACGACCAACCCGGGAGCCGCACTTTCACCACCAAAGGGTTGGTCTGTCTCACGGTTCCCCGGTTGAGACTGTCCGAGTGAAAAAGGGGTTTTAACCCCAGACAATGACCATAGAGACCCGAACAACTGGAGAATCATTCGGATTCGTTGCTGGTCCCAAGACTTCAAAAATGCCAGGGGTTATTGTAAAGCTCTTCATGGAGATGTATTTATTGTTTGCCCCCCTTTCCACTTCTAAATTCTCACAGATCTTCATTCTCCCTGGTGCATTTCGGTCTCTGGTTTGGTGCCTTCATTGCGTGAAACCGAGGCCTTACCGCCCCCCACCAGCGGCTGCCTGCGGCGTTTAGGCCACGAGCTCAGCGGCCTTCGCACGGAGCCGCTGCCCGGGATCCAGGCCCTGCGCGGGACGGGAGGCACCAGCCACTGGGCCATCCATTCAGCCTCCAGGCATCGCTACAAACGGAGCAAGAAGCTCAGGTATGTAGCTCCTGGCTATACTATAGTAACAAGAAGCACAAGAAGCTACTAGTAACAAGGGCATCGCTACGAACGCAACAAGAAGCGCAGGTATGTGGTAGATGGGTCATAGATGGGTGCTCCGACATGACCCGAAGAATCCGGGTCCGTTTTCCCCCCCTGCGTATCCGTGTCGGGCCACTACGTCGCGCTCACGAGTTGCATGCAAGGGCACAAGGGCCTGGCACATACAGTGGTGTGTCACAATGGACAGTCCACCACCATATATCGCTGTGTTTTGCTGTTTCTTGGCTGGTCTAAAAAAACAGCATTCGCTAGAAGCCCAGTTCGACACTGTTTTGCCGCACTGAAGTCAAGGAAGTTCCTGACATGAGGTCATTGATGTAAAGACCCTTGAAAAAGAATTGACTGGAGTCCCGGACTCCGCATGCTCAGAGTCGACAGAATGAAGGGTTCGGCTTCGACATCACACGATGACTGGAGGGTTCGAAGTCGACATTTCTGCAACGATGACTGGAGGGTTCAAGCTGAGAGCTTGTTGGCTGGGAGGTGTGCTACACTCCCTGCAAACAAAAAATTTGGCCAACGTGGATGGCACTGCCCCCCTGGATGACCATTTCCATCCAGAGACCCCACAGGTGGTGCCAAGAAGGGGGAAGTGTACCTCGAAAGGTGGCAGCCGTGGCAGCCGCCATTGTTGAAGCGAAAGACAATGACTTTGAGGTTGAATATCTCGATCAAGGCTAACAATCATCCTCATGAGACACCAGATACCAATTCTCCTGGCGGTGCTAGATCGTTCCGCTCGTTCAATGGAGGAAGGAACATCGAACTCAGATCTCAAACTTCAGAACTTCTCAGAATCGGTCGGATTATATCAGAGTATATCAGAGTATCGGCCTGAAAGCATCAGAGTATATCAGAGTTCCAACTCTCTCAGAATCGGTCGGGTCGTTTTCCCTTCAATCAGGTGGCGCCCGATGAAGAGATCGCCACCATGGTCCACGCGCTCATTGAAGGAGAGAATTGCTCAGACCGGCTCGGACGGAAGAGATAGCCACCGAAACCGGGAGGTTCTTTCAATGCAAAACGAACGGGGTGCCCAATCAGCAGAAGTAGGAAAAATACCAGTCAGTCTGGGTAAACTTGTCTTGAAACGCATGGTGGTCGGAAGAGAATTGGAAAAGGGGCGAAAGCACTGGGATTCCAAACCACCATTGCTTTACTAAGGATTTTTAGACTAGAAAACCAGGTCAACCAGGTCAACCAAATGGTTTTGGAACGCTAGAGGAGGTTTCCTGCTTTTCTGGCGGGCTGCACCCAGTTCACCGTGGCATGCTGCCGTATTCGAGATTCCTCCTCATCATGAGTTCAGTCAACGAAAGAAACCACTTTGCTTCGGGAAAATGGAAAGATATACATGTAACCATGCTTCTAGAAGCCGAGCACAAGGAGAAGCTGAGCGCCGCGAAGAAACCCTGAAGTACTCGCCGTGTATCAGTGTTCCAGATTGCTAAAGGAGATGTTTCTTCTAGCACAAAACACCAAAAATCTTTGTTATATATATGACGTTATATGACAAACGTGCACTCAGAGCATGTTACTTGCTGAGTGCATGCGACGGCCATGCGCGTGCTGCCTTCATCTCATTGGCATTAAAAACCCTAGTTCGGATAAATCCTGTATTCAGCTAATACAGTCTATACATTGGCCTTACTACTAGGAGCAAGGACACTCCTAGGGGCTCCTGGCCTTACTACTAGGAGCAAGAAGCTACTAGGAGCAAAGGGCATCGCTACTAGGAGCAAGGACGCTACTAGGGGCTCCTGGCCTTACTACTAGGAGCAAGAAGCTACTAGGAGCAAAGGGCATCGCTACTAGGAGCAAGGACGCTACTAGGGGCTCCTATCGTTTTCTTCGATGGCGACAGGACCGGAAGGTACGCCCTACGAAGGCCGAGACCGATTTGAGCAGCACGAACAGGGAGAATCTGGTCAAGGGATGTCAAGGGTCAATGTACATGTATGCGCAAGCCTCAGATTTCTGGGGTATGTTAGAGTAGATAGATGAATGATGGAGACATCTTCCTCAAGCTCTTCCGGATTTCTCCTAGTCTCTCCAGAAAGACTAGTCACAAAACACCAACCGCGGAAGTCCACGCACCCATTCAAACATGTGATCGTGGTCAGTTGATGGGTGTTGATGTGTTGTTTCTTTTCATCACACATGATCTAGAGGGGTGCAGAAAAAGAAATAAGGCACAAAAAAGCGAAGACGAAGGCCGCCCAAGTCGCAACACCTGCTCACTCCGCTATTTGCTTCTCCTCTGCTCCGCGTCGCTGGGGCTCGCTGGGCTCGGTGGGCTGGGTGTGTTTCATTGCTCCGCCCTTCGGGGAGTGACGAGTCGAAGAGAGCAGACGAGTCG